GGGAAGAGGTGGCTGCTGCTGCTCCCGGAACCACGGGATGCCCTCATTCCAGGGGGACGTCTGGAATGCTGCCCCCTCCTCCTGTACCTCCTGCTTTGGGTGGACAGCACCTCTTCACCGTGAAGCTCTCATTGCCAGACTTCAGCGTGCAGCCCTTGAGCACATCCAGGAGCTCCCGCAGGGTGGGAAACTCCCGGTCCCAGCCTTCCAGAACAAAGGAATTGCCTTTCTTCTGGATCCGGAACTGTCTGTACTTGAGGCTTCCCTGTGCCCCAGGAGCCTGGTAACGACAGGAGCAGGACGGGCTCTGCAGCTTCCCAATGGCCAGGAAGCCAAGAGCTCTTCCCAATGGAGACGAGTGCATCCCAGAGCTCGCCATTCCCAGGAATGCTGCATCTTACCTGCTCCTGGCCCCGTTTGACCACAGACAAGATCATCCTGTTGAAGTCCAGGACGCTCCAGCGGATGATGTAGAGCCCTTCCTCCTCCTCCCGGCGCAGCTTGGCAAAGACAAACTCCTCCCTGGCAGCAGGAAAAGGGGAATGGCGCGGGATGAGGCGCCCGGATCCATGGACCGTGCCCTCCTCAACGTCAGGAAGAGGCCACTTACTGCATGGGCCCGTGGATGCCGTTGAGGATGCTCATGAGGAGCCGTGGAGGTGCCACCTGGTGACACAGGTAGTGGCTGGAGTCAGCAGTGAGGCGGAAGTAGCCGTCCACCAGGGAGACCAAGGAGAGCGCGTTCCCAGGGCATGGAAGAACCACATCCTGGGAAAAGGGGGACAACCAGGGTGAGCAGGCACCCGAGGGACCCAGAGCCCGCCTGTGCCTGCGCCAAAGAGCAGCAAACTTGAAGAGGGGCTGCGTGGAACTTAAGAGCAGCTTCCAGGGAGGAAGGGATGTGGAGAGGAAGGGAACTGGAAGAGGGCAAGTTCCGGTTGGAGACAAGGAATTTCTTCCCCAAGAGAGTGCTGGGACACTGGGATGGGTTGAATGGAGAAGGGTTGGATGCTCCATCCCTGGCAGTGCTCAAGACAGAGCGTGGGGTGACCGGCTCTCGTGTGAGGTGTCCCTGCCCATGGCAGAGGGACGGAGCTGGGGGACCTTCAGCTCCTTCCCAACCCATTCCAGAGAAACTCCCGCTTGTTGGCGTGAACCTTGACGGGATCCTTGTTCTTCCCATTTCCGAAGCGGGACCGTGGAGGTGGTTGGGAAGGACCAAGCTCCACTCACCAGGCACTTGTTGTCCTGCCGGTGGATGCTGACCCTGCTCTCCTTGACCACGATGTGGGTGATCTCCTGGAAGTCACAGAAATGGGCCCATTTCGGATCGCTCTGCTCCGGAGCCGCTCCCTTGGGCTCCAGCTCCTTGTTCCGGGTCTTCCTCCCAAAATAGCCCCGATGGGAGAAGGGCTCCGTGTTCTGCAGAGGGAGAGATGTGAAGGCGTCAATTCCAGCCCTTCCGACTGCAAAGTGGGATAAGCTGGGAAGAAACTGGAGCACGAAGCGCAGGAGGAGCCAGTGCAGGATGGGAATGGGATGGGAATGGGAAGCACAAGCACGAACCCACCTCGGTGGACACCGGCCGCCACTGGATCCCGCTTGTGCCGGTGATGAGGACCTCGTGGGTGACCGGCTGCTCCTTAGGGAGCAATGGGTGCTCCGGATGCGTCCCATTGAGCTGCACCTTCTCCCCCTCGGAGGAGGTATCCAAGGAAAGCACGGGGAAGAGCTCACTCCCGAAGCGAGGAGCGAGGTGCTCCAGGGTGGCCAAGTACTTGTACATGATGTCCTGAGCCGTGAGCTTCCCGGTGCTGACCGTGTGCCTCTGGAAGCGCTGCAGGAACCTCCTGAAGACGTTCCTCATGCGGAATTTGGTCAGGAAGTTGTTCTGCTGGATCTGGCGGCAGAAGGAATGTGGGATGCAGTCCTTGAAACTGGGGAGGGAAGGGAAACGCTTCACTACAGCGGCCTCGAAGGGTTCCCTGAGGAACAGGAGGGGTTTGGAGCTCCCTCGGAGGACAATGACCCCTCTGGAATGGCTACAGTGGGAGGGACGGGATTCTCCGGGCTGGAGAGGACGTGGAGCAAGTCCAGAGGAGGCCACGGGGATGCTCCAAGGGCTGGGTTTAGGTGGGATCTTAGGAGGGAGCTCTCCCCACGAGGTGGGGGGACGCTGGGATGGGTTGAAGGGAGAAGCTTGGGATGCTCCATCGCTGGTGGTGCTCAAGGCCAGGTTGGACACAGGGGCTTGGAGCAACCAGTGGATCTCATCCATGGAACTGGCTGAGCTTTAAGGTCCCTTCCAAGCCAACCCAGGCTGGGATTTGATGCGGGAACAACGGCTCAGCAAATCCTCCAGGCTGCCCATGTCCCCAGGGGGATGGAGAGCACCAAGGTGGGAACCCGGGAGAAGCAGGACGTGAGGAATCACCTGTATTTCCTGGCTACTTCCTCCAGGGAGATGCCTTTCCTGATGGCGATGTGGGAGAGGTGGAGCACGGCCATGCCCAGGCTCTCGTTCTTGAACCTCTGCATCTCCTGCTCGCTCTGGAGGTCTCTCAAAGAGGCCACATCGTTGATGAACTCGTATTTCCCCTATTCCAAGGGGGAACAAAAGGGAAAAGCAAAGCCCTGGAACGCTCCTTCTTGTCTTCTAACCTCAGTGCAGGGGCCCTTGTGGATGGCAACAGGGCCGAGGCCCAGGCAGCAGCTCGAGGACACCCCATGGCCCCGGCCCTGACCCATGGCGGGGTTCTGACCTGCTCGAACAGGTACTCGAAGGAGGCTCTGTCGAGCAGAGCCCCCCCCTGCAGCCCCTGGTGGGGACACTCGCCCTGGCGGGGGGTGTTGCGGCAGACGCCCGGCTCCTTCTCGTTCAGCCCGTGCCAGTTCCTGAAGTAGTACCTGGAGGAGCGGGAAGAGGTGAAGCTCCCGCAATTCCAGCCCCCTGGAATGGGCAGCGCCGCCTCCCACCAGAGCGGGTTGCTCCAAGCGCCGTCCTTGAGCGCTGCCGGGGATGGGGCAGCCTAAAGCTTCTCCAGTCAACACATCCCAGTGTCCCACAGGGAAGAGCTTCCCCCTCAGACCCCATCCAACCGAAGCCCTCGGAGCAACCCCGTGGCCTCCTCTGGCCACGTCCCTCTGGTGGGGGGGAGAATCCCATCCCTCCCCCTGTGGCATTCCAGAGAGCTCAGGAGGGGTATTACCCTCTGAAGGAGCTCCCAGCACCTCCTCTTCCTCAGGGAATCCTTCCGGGGGCTGGTTTCCACCATCCCCATCCATTCTGCTCGGCTCCAAGGGAGGAATTCCCAGGGAAAGCTGGAAGCGGGGAACCCCGGAGCAGGGAATTGGCCTCACCTCATGCGGAAGAGCAGGTTGAGGTTGGTGTCTTTGCCGATGTGGAAGAGGTGGTTGGGTGGGAGCCACACTCGGCTCTGGGTGTCATAGAGGGCGAAGAGGCTGTAGCACAGCGGCGTGATGCCTGCGAGAGGGAATGGCGCTTCCATGAGCCCGGAGCAGCCCCGTTCAGTGGGAAAAGAACCCCCGTAAGATGCCAGAGGTTGGGAACCCCGTGGCCACGGGCTCACCGATGCTGCGGGCCAGGTCGATGCAGATGTCCTCGGCGCTGAGCGTGCCCTGGCTGTAGGTGCGGCAGAATTCCCGCTCCTCCTGCCCGCTCC